TAGGGGAGGGAACAAGGGGATTCTAGAAAGCGGGGATATGGGAATGACAGTCAGCCCAGGAGGCAGAGGGCAGCCTGGCCCTGCGGTGCCTGCGTCAGCGGGCTTACGGCTGGGGCAGCAGGTGCTGAGCGGGGGAAGTTTTGTTGTTGCAGAGGCCGTTGGGCGAGGCAGGAGCCGCGTCTCACCATGGAGCAGTATGTGCTGCTGGACCCCCGGCAGAGGGCCCTGTACCGGGATGTCATGCAGGAGAGTTACGAAACCCTGATGGCCCTTGGTAAGTAATCGCTTCCTCTTCTCCATAAGGAGCCACGAGTGGCCCCATTCAGGGGTCTTCCTTGCTGGGGAATCTACCTCCTGGGGGGTGTATGAAGCCATCGGAACGGGACAGTGGGTCCCAAGGGATGGTGGTAGCTAGGACGCTACCAATTTCACGGCTGTGAAAAACATGTCACACACTGGGAAATAAGCCCTTCCCCATGAAATCTGATATCCCCTTGCTGCTAGGAGCGCCCCAGCCAGGGGGCCCCTAGCGCCGGCTGCCCTGGGGAGGGACAGGACTTGTCCTACCCCCGCACAGCTGCTCGGGAGGGGAGGGGGAGAGCTCAGACCCACTTCCAGGAAGCTTCCTGGTTGCTGTCTTCAGAGTCCCTCTCTGAAGGCAGCACGGAAGTGAGGGTGGCAATCCCGTGGACCCCACCCCCCAAACACACACACACACCAGGTTTGCGACTCCTCCACAATCCCCTTTTGAGTCGGGACCCTCACGGTTACAACAGGGTGAAATTTCAGATTTAAACATCTGCAAATGTGAAATTTACCAGTTTTCAATTCCTATGGCCATGAAATTGACCAGAATGGACCTGAATTTGGTAGGGCCCTAGTGATAGCAGAGGGAGACAAAGGCAGAGGAAAAGGATCTACCAAAGGCAAGGCTACAGAAGCCAGCAAAACAGGACAGGGCACGTGCCAGAAGGGTCTGGGAGAGGAGGAGATGGGTCCCTGCAGAGGAGGCAGCAGAGGGAGTGAGGAGGACATGTCCAGGAGTTGGGGGACCAGGCCTCTCCGAGTTACTAGGAAAGGCAGCGGAGAGAGGCTGAATCTGGGTGGGAGGGTGAGCATGTGGGGGCTGGGCACAGAAATCTCCCTTGAGGAGCTTTGGGGTGAGAATTGATGGGTGAGATATCAGGGCTGAGCGAGAGGGGATCCTCTGGGGTGGGGAAAGGGAAAAGCAGCCTATTTAACAGGGGCAGGAGTAACAGGGTGGGGACAAACTAGTATAAATGTGACTCCTCTCTGATGGGCTGTGATGTCGTTCAGTGTCTTGAGCGGTGAGGAGAGAGGTTGAAGGTGGATAGGAGCCGAGGCCCCTCACAGAGGGGAGAAGGACTAAGGACCTGGTCATGGCAGAGAGCATGAGCCCCATGGGCTTCTGGGAAGGGGCCACTATGGCCAAGGGAGCCCAACCCGCTCTGATCTTGCTTGTTTTGTTGCCCGCCTTGTCCCCGAGCAGAATTTCCACTTTCCAAGCCTGACCTGCTCTCCCGGCTGGACCGAGGGGATGAGCCGACAGCCCTGGATCTCCACATGCCCAGAGGTGGCCAGGCAGGTGAGTCCCTCTCCAGGAAGGAGAGGATCCCTGCAACGTCACGCATGGCTTCCCACCAACCCTGACTGAGTCCTGGGAGTGTCCAGATGGGATGCAGAGGCAGAATCGGTCCCCTCCTTTTGGGGTAGGGTTTTGGGGGGAGATGTGGCTGCTGGCCATTCGATCTCCCTCCCAAGGGCAGACAGAAAGCAGAAGACCAGAAGTCTGAAGTGCAGGCAGCGCGATGTTTATTGGTGTTAATCAGGCAAGCATATCCATAGCTCTGCACGCCGGCAGAGCCTTTTTATCCAGTGTCCCCGTTCCCCGTCCATAGCAGGCATAATTATACCTGTAGGGCACACCCTGGGTCCCACCCCTTACAATTTATGGTCATGTGCCCTTTTGGAGGGTCTTGGGGCTTCAGTACCACCTCTTTTGTACCCCATGGGAAGGGTAGGCAGTAAGGTTATGCTTCGGTCAGGGACAGGCATGTCTTTGGCCTGTTAGTGTTTCTTATACTCTTCCCGCCCTGCCCCCCATCCCTTCAGCCCTCCTGACTGGTTGCCTGACCTTGCCTTGAGATAGGATTTGAGGCAGTTTTCAAGTGTAGACTCGTATATTACACTCCCACTCTACCCAGCAACACTTTAGCGCTATTTCTTATCACTTCCCCCCCCCCCCCGTCCCATCTGCTTGTGGGCAGATGTAACACACAGTGTTCTTTGATCACCCATATTAGTAAGAATATAAAAATATCAAAAGCCAAATGGGCCAGCAGGACCCAAAATTCTATCTCAGGCAAATACAGAGGCCTGAATGCTGCATTATCATCACTAACACTCCTCGGCAGTTGTGGTTTGTTCCCCTCGCCGTGCAGGGAATGACTTGTGTCTGGGTCTCTCTCCCCTAGCAGCAGATGGCACTGCCAGTGGGAAAGAAGAAGAGAAACCCCAGCAAGCGAGCCCGGAGGAGCCGGCCTCGGAAAAAGCCGACGGCGCTGGGAAGGCTCCCCAAAGCCCCGAGGCGGGGGAGAAGCCGCCGGCTAACAGCGGGGAGAGCCCCAACACTTGCCCCGAGTGTGGCAAGACCTTCAGCCACAAGTCGGCACTGGCCAAGCACCAGAAGATCCACACAGGCGAGAGGCCCCACAAATGCCCCGACTGTGGCAAGACCTTCATCCAGCGTTCAGACCTGACCATCCACCGGCGGGTGCACACCGGGGAGCGCCCCTACGCTTGCCCCGACTGCGGGCGCCGCTTCAGCGTCAGCTCCTCCCTGCTGACCCACCAGCGCACCCACGCGCCAGGTGGCGAGAAGCCCAACCGCTGCCCGCAGTGCGGCAAGAGCTTCACCGACCCCAACGCCCTGGCCCGGCACCAAAAGAGCCACCTGGGCGGCAAGCCATACGAGTGCGGCGTCTGCGGCAAGGCCTTCGCCTGGAGCTCCCACCTGGAGCGGCACCAGCGCATCCACACCGGAGAGAAGCCCTTTCAGTGCGGGGAATGCGGCCGGGCCTTCGCCTGGAGCTCCCACCTGGACCGCCATATGCGCACCCACGCAGCGGCCGTGGAGGAGGAGGAGGCCGAGGAGGAAGCCCCGCCCCCGCCTCAGAGATGTGCCGACTGCGGTAAGCGCCTCAACCACCAGACGGACCCGCAGCGCTTCAAGCACAAGGGGACGCAGACCCAGGATGGCGGCGGGGTGGTAGAGGGGCCCGACCAGGTTGAGGAGAGTGGCCCTGAGCGGCCCCACCGCTGCCAACAGTGCGGCAAATGCTTTAGCCAGAGCTCGAACCTGCTCAAACACCAGCGCGTGCACACGGGCGAGCGCCCCTACGCCTGCCCGGACTGTGGGCGCCGCTTCCGCTGGGGATCGGCCCTGGCCAAACACCGGCGCACCCATGCCCGGGAAAAGCCTGCTGAGGACCCGGTGCCAGCCCATGACACCGGCAAGCCGTACCCGTGCGGGGCCTGCGGGAAGAGCTTTGGCTGGATCTCACACCTGGAGCGTCACCGGCGCATCCACACGGGAGAAAAGCCCTACCGGTGCGGGGAGTGCGGGCGGGCCTTCGCCGTCAGCTCCCACCTGGAGCGGCACCGGCGCATCCACACCGGCGAGCGGCCCTACCGCTGTGGCGACTGCGGCAAAAGCTTTGCCGTCAGCTCCACCCTGCTGGCTCACCGGCGCACCCACGCCACCCGGGAAGGGAGGCCTCACCAGTGCCCCGACTGTGGCAAAGGTTTCACCGCTGCCGCAGCCCTGGAGCGGCACCGCCGGCTGCACCGGGGTGAGAAGCCTTACCAGTGCGGCGTTTGTGGCAAAGGCTTCGCCTGGAGCTCACACTACGACCGGCACCGGCTCACCCACACCGGAGAAAAGCCCTTCCCTTGCGCCCATTGTGGCAAGCGCTTCGGCCGCAGCTCCCACCGCAACCGGCACCAGCGGGCCCATGCCCAGGCTGGCGCAGAGAAACGGCACGTCTGTCCCGACTGCGGCAAAGCCTTCAGCCTCAGCGCGGCCCTGGCAGCCCACCAGAGACTCCACGCCGCCGGCACCAACAGCCCACTCTCCCTGCTGCCGCCCACCTGGTGGGAGGCTGAGAGGAGGACCGGGACAACCACGCCACCGCCTGAGGCCTGGGCTGAGGATCCTGCCACCCACTTCCAATGCCCTGTCCCCTCCTCCCTGACTGCCGCCCCCCGGGCCTGGGCAACCAAGTCTCTCTCAGCTCCCGGCGCATGGAGACCAGGGGAAAGGGAGGCCAGTGTTGCTGCCCCTCCAGAGAGCTGGGCCCAGCAACCTCCTCCCAGCTCCTAACATGGCTAAGCAGGGTGTGTGGGGGGGGAAGGGGGAACCCCTGTCTTTGGAGTGAGCCAGAAACACCCCCTGCCCTGGAGGGGGCTGGGTGGGGGACTGGCATGTTCTCCCCCCAGCCAGGGTATTCTTTGAGGGTGGGGGGGGGCAATTTCCCCCCTCGCACTGGCAACATTATTCACTGCTGATGCAGGAAAATGGGCCTTGAGCCGCCTGGTAGCTGAGACCCCCTTCCCCCCACACCCTGAATGCCATAGAGCCAGGGGGTTCCCCCCACCCACCCCATACCCAGGCGGAAATGAGAGCTAGAAGGGTGGAGGGCTGGGTCTGGGATAGGGACTAGATGAGAGGGAGGTGGGGGGGACATCAAGCAGGGGGGATGAGAGTTGGGGACTGGGGGTGTAGGAACCAGAGGGGGCAGCGGGGGGTGGGTGGGAAGCAGAGCGAGGTGGGGTGGGCTGAGTGTTTAGTGTTCAGGGAGTTGGATGGGAAGCAGATGGAGCTTGCAGTGTATGGGTGTGCTGAGGGCGGAGGGGTAGAGATGGGCTGTGGAGTAGAGATGGGATTACGGCGGTGCAGCCCCCCTGATGTGACTTTTTCCACCTGCTCCGCTCCATTTGCCTCTGTGCTTTCACCGGCTCAGAAGGAAATGGGGGAGACCTCAGAGCAGACAGGCGTGGGGGATGTGGGGCAGAGGTTGGGGGAGACACAACCAGAGAGAGAGTGGCGAGGGAGGGAGATCTGTCTCTGGAGCAGAATGACTTTGGAGCGGCGCGTGGTTCACCAGTGGAACTCCCTGCTGCTGTAGACACCTGGAGAAATAAGCACAGCGAAGGGCCTCTGTGGCTGGGAATCTGCCTTGTTATAGCTATTTAAAGGGGGGGGGCAGTGACCCAGTGCCTGACGAAGGTATGAAATTTGGCCTTAGAGCCACAGATGCACAAGCCCCGCTCCATGGGACCTGACCTTCTTTCAGGATGCCAAAGGCAAGGCTCAGAACTCTGCCTTGCTCCCTGCTCCAGGGGGATGAATTCACCCAGCACCGTGCAGAGCAGCAGCTGGTTTCCATGGGCCCTCCCCTTTGCGGGAGGCCTAGAACAGCCTTTGTGGGCCCAGGGAATCTGATGTCAATAGCATTAGCTTTGGGGTGTCACATTTATATGGTTCCCCCCACTTTCTGTTAGCCTGGGAGGGGTCGCATTTATATAGTTCCCCCTCCATTCTCTTAGCTTTAGGGTGTCATGTTTATACTGTCCTTCCCCTCCGGAGCCTCCGGGAATCTCATTCTAACTGCTCCCATTAGATTCTGCGTGACGCATCCCATGCTAGACAAAGGATGGTTAGAAAGGCTGAGCTAGTATATTTTCTACCTTTATCTTTGGTTGCACTAACGCTGGGTCTGACTGTGCTTCCCTGGGTGGGTGTCAATGGAAAAATCCTCTCTGGCCTCTTGGGGCCAGTTGGTTAAGTAGCGATGCTCACAGCTAGAGACGGAGACGGACCGAACTGGGGAAGGAAGTTACTGCCTGAGCTCTGCAGTGATGTCAGACAGTCAGGGAGTGAAGGTCAAAGATAACAATGCTGGGAAATGGCAGCGTTTGCTCTTCAGAGCCAGCCAGCTGAGAACTGTAAACTCGCTGCACTGGGACAGACAGGAAATGTCCTGTGAGTATCAGGGGAAGCGGCTCTGAATCCTAAAGAGCTACCAATGACACCCCAAGAGGAGGGAAGTAAACAGGCCAGGCTGAGTCCATCAGTGAGGAGGCCACAGGGAGTCGGGAACCCTGACAGCTCAGCTGCCGGAATCCGCCTCCTTCCTGGGAGCCCAGCTGCTGGCAGACAAGGGGCTAACGCTACGTCTCCTAGTTACCACAGCAGGTGACTCCTTGGACCTGGGTTCTCCCAGCCGGATCATTGGCTTTTGTCACTGGCTCGAGCTGTTTGTCTCAGGGAAGGGCCTGAAAGGTTGGCTTATTGTTGAGGGAGGTAGGTCCTGGGACAGAGATGGGTTGGGAATGGCATGGGGGTGGAGTTGGGCCATGGGCACAGAGGTGGGACGAGGGTTTAACTTTTGACTTCCTTGCTTTGGATTAGAGGGTAATAAAGTAGAATGTAGTTTAGCAAAACTCAATGTGTCTGGAGTCGTTCATCTTAAAGAACAGGAGGGAGAGAGAGGGAGGGTGTGTGTGGTGGAGGAGGGGTGTTGAGAGACAGAAGGAAGTGTATTTGTCTTTGCTGCATCCATCTGTGGTGAGAGCCCAAACAATAATATCCAGCTTTTACTTAGCGCTTCTCATCCGCAGACCTCAAAGTATTATACAAAGGCAGTCATCAGTGGGAATTTTCTGTAATATTTCAATGACTCCTAGGCATGCCTCAGTTTCCCTTGGTACGCTGCATTGCTACCCCATGAGTGCAAAAGGGTTAACGCTGCTCCTGGAACAGTGCAGGAGATGGGTGTGCAGCCCCTCGCTGTCTAGGAGAAATGACTGGGTCATTGAGGAACTGATTGAAACTGACCCAGATCAACAGAGGATCCAGCAAGACAAAGTGAGACCCACCCAAGGACTGAACAATCAATGCCTAACAGGAAATCCCAGCAGGCAGGACATGTGAACTGGACTAAGAGCTGCCCTTTTGGAGGGACACAGGAACTGTGAGCTGGGCAGATGAAGGGGAGGGGGAGACAGGGAGGGAGTCCATCGCAACTTGGCTCTTGGCATTTGCTTGGCCAGGATGGACTAGCATAATTTCTGCCTCTCTCTGCTGCCCCGAGGCCTTTCAGATCCGGTGTGTCAAGTGACTAATAAATGGCTCCCTTGTTTAAAAAAAGCTCCTTGTGTCTCTGCAGGACTCTGAGAGCCTGGTGCCTGAAGGGCTGCCATACAAGCCTCCCGCAGGAATCGGGCTCCGCTGGATTTGCTGGGTAGAGAGACAGGGATCAGAACCGCCAAAGACTCCGTCTCAGAGGCCCGTGGAACTGTGGGTCCTGCACACTGAAAGGTGTCACTCCCCAGAGTCTGGTGATGGGTTTTTTTGGGGGGGGGAATGTAGACCAGACCTTGTGACTCCATGACAATATCATTATCCCTCTTGTACACGTGGTGAAACTGAGGTACGGCAGAGCAAGCTGCCCGAGGTCACCTAGCAGGCCTGGGGAAAAGCCAAGAATAGATCCCAGCTCTCCAGAGTCACCAGTAGTGGATTAGCCATGCCACCATCTAGAAGCATTCAAAACAAGCCTCAAAAAATCAAGAGATTGTCTTAAAAATCCTGGAATTTTTAAAAATGGTGTTTTTCTTCCCCTTCTGGTCTCTGAGCCCTTAGGTTATACACTCGGGTCATGTTCTCAAGCTTTTTTCTGCAACCACAGGGGCTAGTAACATACCTAGAATTTTTTTAAAAGATTTTCCTACAGTCGCTGCATTCCAGGAGCTGGGCACATGGCTTGAGACTTAAAATGGGGAAAGTTGGCAACCTTGCTGTGCGTATGATGTGTGACTACAGGGAGCGTGGCTGGTGCTTTTAGGATGCATGTATGTGTCTGTGCCGCTTTGTGCATGGTGGGATTGGGTCTATTTATTGCTTCTCTCTGGACACAACTGGCTGGATTTTCAAAAGTGCCGCTAATTTTGCTCATCAACCCCTTTTTCCACATGCCCACTTTGCTGCCGAGCCCAGCCCCGGCCAGCTGCTGTGCACAGCTGCCATTGGTCCGTGCAAAAGTGGGTACAAGGAACCACATGAGCAAGAGAAATTTCAGCGGCAAAGGAATCAGGCGGGTTTAGTCCCATGTTTATGCAGTGTCTAGATTTCATCCTAATTCCATTTTGACTGGAAACACAGCACATCCTGCAGCTGGGAGGCCAGAGCCCTCTTCTATCCACCTCTGTGGAGACTCTCACACCCCTGGGGATGCTGATGGACAAGAGCTGGTCCCTCCTGTTGTTACACAGCTGCAGGCACTCTGAATGCCATCTTCTTTCCAGGTAAGGGAGGGGGTGTGGTAGTGGGGAGATGTTTTTGCGTGGGGATGCCAAATATATATATATTTTTTGTGAGGGGGGGGTGCTGGATTTCTGGTAGGATGTTTGAAGAGGGGAACTGGAGCCAATGGGTTGCTATGGCAGGGATGTGGGGGTGATGCCCCCACAACCTCTGCCAGATGGAGTGACCTGACCTCCTCCCAGCCCCCTGTTTGTGCTCTGGTTGTGCGGCAGGCAGGAGGGGGGAGGTGGCAGGAGAGCCAGGCCCTTTTGCTAGGGGAAGAGGGCTGTTCCCCTGGGAAGGGAGGGCCTTATGTGCCAGCAGGGGTAGATTGGCACTTAGTACAGCAAGGGGAGGGTTCCCTTAGGGCAGCTAATTAGGAAAGCCAAAAAAACTTGCCCCCTCTCCCCCAGTTCTTCACCTGGGAATGTTTTGCAGGTCCAACACCTGCCCCTGGAATCACAGGGGGGCTGATTTCAGTTGTGGTCTCTCGGGGGTACCATGATACACGGTAGCACCTCGGAGCCCCATCCATGGAGCAGGACACTGTCATGCCAGGTGCTGTACAAACACAAAACAAAAATATGGTCCCTGCCCTGAGGGGCTTACAATCTATAACAACAACAAAGGGGTGTGAGTATGGGAGGCAATAAAGCCAAATTATTTCAGGGGTGTATGGGGCTGGGGGAGACAGAACAGGAGCCAAGTTATATGGGGAGGAGGGATGTGAACCAAATGATTTGTGGGGGGGGGGGGACGTATTGGGAAAGGGAGACAGGAGCCAAAAGGGAGATGAGACAGGAACCAAATGTGTTTTGGGGTGTGTGTGTGTGTGGATTTTGGGGTGCAAAGGCAGCAGAAAGTAGACAAGCAGAGTGAATGCCACAACCTGGCCAGGGAAGGATGCTGCAGAAATGCTTCAACTTTGCAGAAAAAAATGTTTTGTTGAAGGAACACAAACCCCGGCTCTTTAGTGGAGAAAATCACCTTCCCCATGGATCGCTTCTTAGCTAAAGAGAAGAAAGGATAAACTAGCTTCAGGTGGGAGACCGCCAAAGCCAGCCACATGGGATGAGACAAGATGGCTTGCTCTGGCTAGCTGGTGGGCCTCTGTGCTCAAAGTGACTGGAGTTCTCTACCACAATAAGACACAAGCCCTGGAGAACATTAGCTTGATGGGGTTGTTTGGAAGGTGATTAGCTGCCTTGGCTAAGAACTCCATGGCCTATTCAGTGGTGGCAGATGGGTGACATTTTCAAACGTGCCATTTTCAAAAGTGACGTAGGTCCTGATTTTTAAAGGTATTCAGGAGTTGCTCTCCTCACTGCTGGCCTGAAGCCTCAAAGGTGGCTCCTTCATTGGAAGATCTGGGAACCCCACTGGCCAGGATGTTCGCAACCAGCACCCCAGAGAAAAGAGATCCCTCCCCCACACACACACACACCCTTTGGCAGGAAAGTGGAGCAAAGGCCCCAACTGGATGGAGAACAAAGCGGGCAGGTGGCTGGGATCCAAGGACAAAGGGACAGAGAGGGAGCAAGAGCCAGACAAGATGCCTTTGATGGCAGCATGGCTGAAGAGAGCCCTGGCCGGGCTGAACTCTGCCTCTCTCTGGGCTAGCATAGGGGCTCTCTGACTCTGTACACCCAGGGCCTAATCAATGGTGACCTTGTTTTGCAAAGGCAGCCTGGTGTCTCTGGAAATACTCCCTGATAGCCCTGAAGGGGCCCGATCCAAACCTCCTGCAGGAGTCTGGCTGGGTTGGATTGGCTGCAGGGAGCCATGGACAGAGACAGGGAGCGCTGGTGCCTGAAGGCCGTCTTGGGGTACATCTACCTTCCAAAGACGGACCTGCAGTGCCGAGTCTGAGCCCGGGGCCATTGACTCAGGTTGTGGGGCTAAAAAAAGCACTGTAGATGTTCAGGCTTGGGTTGCAGTCTGACTTTGGGAGGGTCTTGGAGCCTGGGTGGGAACACCTACATGGTTATTTCAGTCCATTGACCCAGGCCCTGAGACTCGCCGCTGCAGGTTTTTCTTTGCAGTGTCGACATACCCTGTGAGGCTAGGGGCCTGGCACGCTAAAAGGGTCACTTCTCTGGGACTGGTTACAGGCCAGCGCATAGATCATACCCTGTGGCTCTGTGAAGCTAAGTGACTTAGATGGCTATGTCCTACCAGCAAAAGTGATTCATTGACTGTGTCACTTAGGCTCTTATGTAACTATGTCACTCCTGAATCCCATAGGTACTTTCTGAAAATTTTGCCCTTTGGCACTACTGGCCCTGACTCCCATACTTAGTTTTCCTTTAATAATAATAAGGTTCCTAGACTTTGTGGTGGTTAAGCTTTAAAATGTGACCAGAGTGTAACCCCTCTGGTAATGTCTGCCTGAGTTTGCAGAGAGCCTGAGCCAATTGCTCTGAGATGGAGGTGGGGGGCCTTATCCATCCCAATTTTAACTCTGAAACTTGACTGCTCGGGGGAGCCCCATACTGCTAATGCCAAATGGGGGGCTCTGGGTTGGGCCCCTGGGTGCTGCTGCCCTCCATTGTGGCTCAGCAGGGACCCTACAGAGAGAATCCTTTGAGTCAAGCCCACGTGAGATCTCCACCTGCATGAAGGCAGGGAGCAGCAGACACAGGCTGCTGAAAGAGGAGAGGCAGAGGCTTTTCCATCAGCTGGCTCTTGCTGTGGTAGCTTCCGCTGCTAGCATCCCAAGTAAGGTGGGGCTGTAGTGTGGGGAGGGGCACAGGTGACACGGCTAGGACTCTGGAGCTTTTAATCTGGCCCTAATTGCAGCAATGGGGCAGGGGAGTAAATTCCAGGGTTGCCAACATCTTTATCACGGGTCTTGTGATATTTGGTCATTGTCTAAAAGCCCCAGCTCCTGGAGTCATGTGAAACTCTCAGCAATCATTTTATAAAGAGAGAGGTCATCATCCAGTTCCCTGTGTTGCAGAGAAAAGCTTGAACGTATTAACCCCTAAAGGTTCAGAAAGCAAATACAGAGAACCCAGAATTTATTTTTAAGGTGGTTTTTTTTTTAAGTCACTTGTGACTTTTGGGGGACCCAACTCATGGTTTTTGAATACATGGGGGGTGGCAATCTGGAGAGTTGGGGATTTTACTATAAACACACAACACAAGCTCTATGTAGTGAAGGCCACCTAGGATAGTGACGCATGGACACGCGGCACAGCTGCCTCCCCTCTGAACACGCTAAAGAACCTCAGAAAAGTCAGACACGAGCCCTTTTAGTTCTACAGCCAGGAAATGCCCTCTACTGCTCTGGGTCACCATGCACCTATCTGACCCTCTGCGCCTTCAGAACCCCAACGGAAAGGTGCAGTCAGTAATGTTTTGCACTTACCTTGTATTTCTTCACAGTAGATTTCCAAGCACTTTCAAAGAAGAAGTCAGTGTCATGACTTTTTAATCCTTAAAAGATGCTTAATTTCTTAGATCATGTCTACACGCAGAAGTTGCACTGGTTTAACTTAATTTGGTTTAAAAGCCAGTTTAAACCTGGTCTACACTACAACATTAAGTCAACTTGTATCAACTTCGTTATGCTTGCGTCCACACCTAAATTTGCTGAATTGGTGTAAACCACCTTACTTTGGTTTAAAACTGGTTATATCAGCATAGCTTACACCTGAAAATTTGCTAGTGCAAGATAAACCATTGTAAAAGAGGTTTAAACCAAATTCAGAGTGTCTATAAATAAAGCTTCATTGGTTGAACTGAATCACTTTAAAATTTCAACTTTAGCCCTTGTTTACATACAAAAGTTGTACCATCTTATCTATACCAGTGTGGACAAAGTTATATCAGGCCTTGTCTACGCTACAAATGCTTTGCCAGTATAGATATACCAGCAGATCCTCTTGTGTAGACACAGCATGTGATAACAGAAGCAGTTTTTCTTTTGGCATAGTAACACCACCTCCCCCACTGACATTAGACATGTCAACAGGAGCGCTCTTCTGTCAGCGTAGATGCATCTACCCTGGGTTGTTTTCTTTCACACCCTTGACCAACATAGCTATGCTGCCAAAACACTGTAGTATAGACCTGACCTCAGTATGAAAGTACTTATACTGGAATAGCTATACCTGGAGGGAAGGGGAATAAGACCATGTCTATGCTACAAAATTAAGTTGACTAACTGACGTCGGCATACAGCTGCCGCAGTAATTGCATCACTTGTCCATGTCTACACTTTGCTCCTTGTATTGGTGCGTGTCCTCACTAGGAGCCCTTGTATCTATTGTACTGTCAATATGGGATGGGTCCTGAAAGCCAGTAACAATCAATTTAAGCAACGCAGTGTCTACACTGAGACGGCATTGACCTAACCACATCGACCTTGTTTCTATGCTGCTCATGGAGATGGAGTCATTGCAGTGGGGCAGTTACATCCATAGGACCGAAATTTAAGTGTAGACACTTCCACAGTTAGATTGAAGTAAACTGCCTTGTTACCTAAGTTACACCAGAATAAGGCACTTTTATATCAATAAACCAGTGCACTTAGTTCATTAGAAAAATCACACCCCAATCATGATAACTGAACTGCTATAAAAACCGTGTGTAGACAAAGACCTTCATTAAACCAGTGAAACTTTGCCAAACTTTGGCCTCTGAAATTTTCTGTAATTTTTTTCCCGTTTGCCATAAAATTGAGACTGCAGGTATTTTCATTTTGGGAGTTTGCAGGCAAGGGGAGGGGAGGGGATTGAAAAATGGGCCACGGTTTTCCAGAAATGCCTAGGGAGTTTGGGTGTCCAGAATGAGCCACCTGAAAGGGCCAAGCTCCTGCCCTTCGGAAAATTAAACACCTTTACAGAGTCTCAAGTTGGACACCCAAAAGTTGTTCTTTTCTATATAGGTTCTTCTATTGCACTCATCTCCTGAGTATCTGAGTGCCTTCCAGCAGGGCACTAAGTGACTTTGGTCTCTCCTACACTCCGTAGAGGAGAACGTGTACAGTAGTGTCTTGTTTTGGTAAGGGTTTCTAAAACCAATATGCATGTCAGTGTATCTTTATGTTCCAGATGGGAGGTTAAAGAAACATGCCCTGCACTTAGAGCAGAAGGTGTGAGGTTTAAGTACTTGGAGGAGTTCAAATAGCTCATCACTTATGAAAGGCTTGGCCTGTTAATGGGCTCCTGGTTGATAACTAACTGAAGAGAGAGTGCAGTCTCTCTCCCTCGCGGGGGGATCCCAAATAAATATTCCACAGAAGTCCTGGGTTTGTCTGAACCAGCTCTGAGTTAATGGTACCTATAGATCTACAACACTCCTGTTCAAATTAAATAGACTCTACTCCAACGAGTATCTTGCTGTATTTAAAGGCATACTTCTAATCATGCCAAATATCCTGGAGTCTGTAAGGCTGGTAAAACTACATTCTATTTTATTTGCCTCCAACAGAAAGCAAGAAAAGTCACAAATAAACCATCATCTATGACTCAGTGGTGGAGAACTAAACTCGGCACGATGCACTCCAAAAAAAAAATATCCAAGAACATGGCCGCAAACAGATCCCAGCTCTCAGAAGCGTCAGCCAGACATTCCTACAGGGGTTGGGAGAGGATAGGCCTCTGGGGAGCCACGCTGGGATCTGGTGACAAAAGGAACTGACTCTGTCCTCGGGAAGCTCAGATCTGCTGGAGTAAAGCAATGGCCTTGCTGTGGCCGCTGCCTGCCCCGCACGAACCCCTTATCTGTTGGCAGCTGTTCTCACAGGCAAGGGCAAGTCACAGCAGTATGTGCAGGTCTGATCCCGGTGGAGGCTTTTCTCACCTTTCCGATATTGGCCCAGAACCTTAATGACATTTAGGCTCCTAAAATCCACTGATATCAAAGGAATAAATACTTTTGAGGGTCTGGGCCATCCTGGGCATGTTGCAGGGAGAGGGGTGAGTGCAGCAGAATCTCTGTTTAAATAGGGTTATCATATTTCAGCACTGAAAAAAGAGGACACTCCATGGAGGTCCGGGCCCTGGCCCTGCCCCAACTCCGCCCCTTCCCCAAAGTCCCTGCCCCAACTCTGCCGCCTCCTCTGAGCACCCTGCATTCCCCCTCCTCCCTCCCGCTCTGATCTTGGTTGGGGGTTGCTAAGTGCTTCCCTGCTCCCCACTCGCCCTGCAGCCTCTGC